TATGTGGTGCTGAGGAATCGAACTCAGGGCCTCAGGCATGCAAGGCAAGCACTCTACCACTGAGCCACCTTCCCAGCCCCTTATATTTAATTTTTAAATAATCCATTAAGGTAGCTCTTAAAAGATAGACAGTAGCCTGGTGCTGGTGGCTCATGCCTGTAATCCTACCTACTCAGGAGGCTGAGATCTGAGGATTGTGGTTCAAAGCCAGCCCGGGCAGCAAAGTCTGTGAGACTCTTATCTCCAATTAACCATTAGAAAACCGGAAGTGGCGCTGTGGTGCAAGCGATAGGGTGCTTGCCTTGAGCTGAAGAACGCAGGGACAGGGCCCAAGCCCAGAGTTCAAGCCCCATGACAAAAACAAAAATCATTATAGCTGGGTGCCAGTGGCTCATGCCACCAGAGGTTCACTGCTACTCAGGAGGCTGGGATCTGAGGATCACGATTCAAAGCCAGCCAGCAGGAAAGTCCGTAAGACTCTTCAATAAACCACCAGAAAACTGGAAGTGGTGTTGTGGCTCAAGTGATAGAGCGCTCTCCTTGAGCTGAAGAGCTCAGGGACAGCACCCAGGCCCAGAGTTCAAGACCCATGACTGACAAAAAAAAATAAAATAAAAAATAAGTAAATGAATAAATACAATAAAGTAAGCAAGCCAGGAAAGGATGGCTCACATCTGTAATCATAGATATTTAAGAGTCTAAGATCTTAAGGTTTATGGTTTGAGGCCAGCTGGGGCAGAAAATTAAGACTCCATTTCCAAAATAATCATCATAAAGCTGGATTGGAGGTATGACTCAAGTTGTAGAGCTCATGTCTAGCAAGCACAGGCCCCAAGTTCAAACCCCAGTGACACACACACACACACACACACACACACACACACACACACACACACACAAAGGAGGAGGAGGAGGAAGAAAAATAAATGATACATCGCTATATTTCTTAGGCTGGCCCCAAATTCTTGTGCTCAAGGGATCCACCTGTCTCCACTTCCTTAGTAGCTGGCACTCCTGCCACTGAGTCTAGCTCGATTTCTCTCAGAACGTTATCACCATGTGTTCCTACTACAGTGACCGGTATGAAGTTTGTGCTTAACAAATACTGAATGACATTCCCAAGCAGTCACAAGAAGTGATGTCAAGAAGAAATGTCTATAATTGCTTACCTCCCCTGGATCAAATATCACTGCAGGTACAGACTTCTTGTTCATCTTTGCAGCCTTCCAGATGATATCTTCAGCCTCTCTAAATCTCCTCTGGGATATCAGCCACCGAGGAGATTCAGGAATAAACCTAGAATTCATATATATATATATATATATATATATATATATATATATATATATATATATATCACAACAACAGGGTTTGATACTACTAGCCCTAAGCTTCCAGTAGATCATTTTAATGTTGTGAGTTCTATTTTTAAGAAGTATTATTAATGGTTTTTTGTTTTTTTTTTTAACCAGTCCTGGGGCTTGAACTCAGGGCCTGGACACTGTCACTGAGCTTCTTTTTGCTCAAGACTAGCACTCTACGACTTGAGCCACAGCACCACTTCTAGCTTTTTCTGTTATGTGGCACTGAGGAATTAAACCCAGGCCTTCATGTATGCTAGGCAAGCACTCTACCTCTGAGCCACATTCCCAGACTTTTGTGTTGTGTTTTTTAAACTGATACATGGTAACTCTATGTATTTCTGGAGTGCAGTATGGACTTTTCACACATGTATATGATATGTAACATTCAGCAGGTCTTTAAAAAAGAAACCTAGCTTGTCATTGGTGGCTCACGCCTGTAATCCTAGCTAACTCAGGAGGCTGAGATCTGAGGATCACTGTAGGAAGCCAGCTCAGGCAGAAAAGTCCCCATGAGACTCTTATCTCCAATTAACTACTCAAAAACCAGAAGTGGCGTTGTGGCTCAAGTGGTAGAGAGCTAGCCTTGAGGTTCAGCAACAGCATCTAAGCCCTGAGTTCAAGTTCCACAACTGACCAAAAAAAAAAAAAAAGAGAAACCTATTGGGAAGGGATTCTCATAGGTTGGTTTATAAGAATCAGTAAAAGCATCTTTAAGTTTCAAAGTCCCCATCAAATTGAAGGACCAAAGCCAGGCACAGTGGCTCACATCTGTAAGCCCAGCTACTTAGTTGGCTGAGATCTGAGGATCCTGGTTCAAAGCCAGTCCAGGCAGGAAAGTCCAAGAGACTCTTACTTCCAATTAGCCATCAAAAAGCCAGAAGTGGAATGGTAGCACAAGTGAAATAACAAAAAAATCCCAGTGTACAGATGCACACACACACACACAGAGGGATTGACTATCTGTTGTGCTTGAGATTAGGACCAGACCCTAGAAGATTACCTTAAGTGTGGCACATACAAGCCAGGGCAGTGACAAAGACTATTTGAAAGTGAGCAACTAGTGGAAAGGAAGAAAGGAAGGTAGGAAGGAAGGAAGGTAGGAAGGAAGGAAGGAAGAAAGGAAGAAAGAAAGAGAAGGAAAGAGAGAGAGAGAAGGAAAGAAAGAAAGAGAAAGAAAGAAAGAAAGAACGAAAGAAAGAGTAAAAGGAAATGAACTATACAACTTGTGGGTGGAGATGGGAGGGAAAAACTGGGAGAGAGTGAGGGAAGGGGTGACATGGTTCCAAAAGAAACTTACTCTTTACTTGACTTATGTAACTGTAACCCCCTCTGAACATCACCTTAATAATAACAATAAAAATTAATTAAAAGATTGCAGGGGACTGGGAATGTGGTTTAGTGGTAGAGTGCTTGCCTAGGATGCATGAAGCCCTGGGTTTGATTCCTCAGTACCACAAAAACAGAAAAGGCCAGAAGTGGCGCTATGGCTCAAGTGGTAGAGTGCTAGCCTTGAGCAAAAGAAGCTCAGGGACAGTGCCCAGGCCCTGAGTTCAAGCCTGAGGACTGGCAAAAAAAAAAAGGAAAAGATTACAGGGTCTATGCACATTTATAATGGATGTCCAAACACAGTTGCAAACATATAACTCTTCATTCTTTCCTTAGTTTTGTTTCCTAGACTCTCTTAGCCCTTTTCCTGTTGGCTCTCATTTTCCTTGTTTACAAGCCAGAACTTAGTTACCTAGAATACAACACACACAGGAGCCTGTAAAGAAAAGGCCTCAAAGTTGCATAAGGAATTAGCTCAGAGCAAAACATAATATAGCAAATGGCCAACCACCACGCTGCCTTGCCCACAGCTCCATGGTGTGTGGGTAGAAAAAGTGAGCTGAGTCTGCATTTTTTTTCCCGAGTAAGTCCTTAGTCCTGGTAGGAATTGTGATGATGTTCTGTCACTGACTTTTAGAAATTAGACTGTGCTATCCAACAACAACAACAACAAACTTTTCTGAATGGTCTGTATTTGTGCTATTCAATAGAATAGCCTTTAACCACATGTGCCTCTTGAATGAGTTTGAATGACTAGTAGTTTGACTTCATTTACTTTTCTTTTTCCTTTTTATTTATTGGCCAGTCCTGGGGCTTGAACTCAGGACCTGGATGTTGTCCCTGAGATTCCTTTTTTTTTTTGGTCCATCGTGGGGTCTGAACTCTGGTCCTGGGCACTGTCCCTCAGCTCTTTGGCTTGAGGCTAGCACTCTACCACTTGAACCACAGCCCCACTTCCAGCCTTTTCTGCTTATGTGGTGCTGAGGAATCAAACCCAGGGCCCCATGCATGCAAAGAAAGCACTCTACCACTGAGCCACCTTCCAAGCCCTCCCTGAGATTCTATTGTTCAAGGCTGGCTCTCTACCACTTGAGCCACAGCACAACTTCCAGCTTTTTCTTTTTCCGTTCATGTGGTACTGAGGAATGGAACCCAGGGTTTCATGCATACTATGCAAGCAATCTACCACTAAGCCACATTCCCAGCCCTATTTTATTCTTTCTAATAGCTGTGCAAAATTCCATGGCATATAGATACCACATTTTTTGGATCCACTCATCTATAGTGGGGCATCTGGGTTGTTTCCATATCTTGGCTATTGTGAAAATTGTGGCAGTGAACATGGATGTGCAGGTGTCCTTGTCATATCTTGGCTCGGGATGCTCAGGGTAAATGCCTAGGAGTGGTATGGCTGGGTCATAGGGAAGGTCTGTGTTCAGGTTTTTGAGGAACCTCCAGACTGCTTTCCAGAGTGGTTGCATTAATTTATTTTCCCACCAGTAGTGCAGTAGGGTTCCTTTTTCCCCCACATCCCTGCCGGCATTTGTTATTGTTAGAACTCAAAATCTAACAAGTCTTTTTTTTTTTTTTTTTTGGTCGGTCATGGGGCTTGAACTCTGGGCCTGGGCACTGTCCCTCAGCTTTTCAGCTCATAACAGTGTATTACCACTTGAGCCACAGGGCCACTTCTGGTTTTCTGGTGGTTTATTGGAGATAAGAGTCTCACATACTTTTCTACCCGGGCTGGCTTTGAACGTTGATCCTCAGATCTCAGTCTCCTGAGTAGCTACAATTACAGGCATGAGCCTCCTAGCTTCTAACAAACCTTTTAAAGGGAAGCTGAGACATAAAACCATATCCAGACACCTGGTGGCTCATACTTGTAATCCTAACTCCTCAGGAGGCTAGGATCTGAGGATCAGAGTTCAAACCCAGCCCAGCAGAAAAACCCATGAGCCTTTATCCTCTTATCTACAATTAACTGACGCCCTGCCCCAAAAGAAGTCAAAACCATTGTGGTTCAAGTGGTACAATGCCAGCCTTGAGCTAAAAAGCCAAGTGAGAAGCTCTGATTTCAAACTCTATTACACACACACACACACACACACACACACACACACACACACACACACACACACACACACGATCCAAATCTTTTTGGGTTCTTTCTCTCACTACACTGTACTCAGAGCCACTGGGATCTCTGCTTTCAAATTCCCTTCATTCTTTGTTGTTGTTGTTACATAACATTTTGTGTCCAGCTGACCATTTCACAAGCTGATAGAGAACTAAATGAGGGTGCACACTATAATCTTTCTGTGGATTTAGAGGAGGAGAACGAGGAGGAGGAGGAGGAGGAGGAGGAGGAGGAGGAGGAGGAAGAGGAGGACGTAGCGGCAGCAGCGGTGGTAGTGGTAGAGAAGGCTTCCATTCCAGAAAATTACACTTGCTCTTGTAAATCTAAGTGTTTTCCTTGGCCACAGTTTTGTAGGTCTGTCCACATTTACTGATTCTCAGACTGGGTTCCAAATCAGAGTAATATCTAGCCTCTAAGAAAAACCTCTCAGGGGCTGGGAAGTTGGCTCAATGATAGAGTGCTTGCCTTGCATGCATGAGGCCCTGGGTTTGATTCCTCAGCACCATATAAGCAGAAAAAAGCCAGAAGTGGTACTGTGGCTCAAGTGGTAGAGTGCTTGCCTTGAGCTGAAGAGCTGAGGAACAGTGCCCAGGTTCAGAGTTCAGCTCTCATGCCCGACAAAAAAATTTAAAAAAGTAAAAAAAAGAAAATCTCTCAAATTCCAGAGAATTAAGAAAAACAATATAGCCCGGAGCTCACACCTATAATCCTAGTCACTCAGGAGGCTGAGATCTGAGGACTGTGGTTCAAAGCCAGCCCGGATGGAAAAGCCCATGAAGCTCCTATCTCCAATAAATTACTGGTAGTGGTACTGTGGCTCAAAGTGCTAGCCTTGAGCAAAAGAAGCTCAAGGAGAGCACCCAGACCCTGAGTTCAAGTCCCAGGACCAGCACACATACACACACACACACACACACACACACACACACACACACACACACACACAAAACCAAACCAAAATGTTCACTCTATCTACCACTCTCCTCATCTACACACATATCTCATCCCCAAAACTCACAATGCTAAACCACAGCAACCTTCACAGACCACATAGACTGAGTGGTCCATGTTGAGTAGTCTGGTCAGACAACATCAACACTGGGCTACCTGTCAACCCCACAAGTGCTTACCAGCTGCAGCAAGGTAGAGAACCTGGCAGTTTCCCAGGAGGATAGGTTATGGCAACTCTGAGGTCTAGTCTAAATTATAAACTCCAAAAAGAGATCAAATAAACAGTTACTACAGGATCTTGGAAGCAGGTAGAAATCAAGTAGTTCATACAACCAGTCACTCCTGCAAGATTTTATTTTTATATAATGAAATGAAAAGAAGAAAAAGAAGAGGAAGAAGGAGGAGACTGTTATACCTATCCAGTGGTAGAGATCTCCTTTCCTCTTGTTTAAATCTGAAAAAAGTTGCCTGGCACTGGTGGCTCACGCCTGTAATCCTAGCTACTCAGGAGGCTGAGATCTGAGGATTGTGGTTCAAAGCCAGCCTGGGCAGGAAAACTCTGTGAGACTCTTATCTCTAATAAACCACTCAGAAAACCGAAAGTGGAGCTATGGCTCAAGTGGTAAAGCTCTCGCTTTGAGGTGAAGATCTGAGGGATAGCGCCCAGGCCCAGAGATCAAGTCCTACAACGGACTAAAATAAATAAATAAATAAATATGAAAAAGGCTGGTGGCTCACACCTGTTATCCTAGCTATTTAGGAAGCTGAGATCTGAGGATCACAGTTTGAGCCAAGCAGAAAAGTCCTTAAGACCCTTATTTATCTCCAATCAACCAATCAGCCAGAAAAAAGGTATGGCTCAAGTGGTAGAGGGCCAGTCTTAAAAGCCAAATAGTGCAAAGGCCCTAAGTTCAAATTCAGTACAGCACCACAAAAAGGAAAAGATTACGAGAAAGTATGGGAAAGGCACAAAAAAAATTTTTTTTAAGGATAGGAATTAAGATGGTGACTTCATTCCACCATTCTCAACCTGTTCTTCTACATAGAATCTATGTTAATCATCTCAGGTAATACTGAGTCTAGAATCTCCAAACTTTGTTATTCTCATATCTATTGTATTAAAATTTAGTTGAGGAGGGGCTGAGTAAGGCACTTGCTAGAATGCTTGAGGCTGTGGTTTTAATACACAGCACTCTAACAGCAAAAAAAAAAAAGGAAAAAAGGAAGGAAGGAAAGAAGAAGGAAAAAAAGAAGAAAGGAAGGAAGGAAAAGAAAAAAGAAAGGAAGGAAAGAAGAACAAAGAAAAGAAGGAAGGGAGAGAGAGGGAGGGAGGGAGGGACAGAGGGAGAGAAAGAACTAAAGTTGAATTGGGGGAGTTGTGGAAGGAAAGAAGAGAATACTACTCTAATTCACTCTTTAAGACAAAGCAGATAGGGCTGGGAATGTGGTTTAGTGGTAGAGTGCTTGTCTAGCATGCATGAAGCCTTGGGTTCGATTCCTCAGTACCACATAAACAGAAAAAGCCAGAAGTGGTGCTGTGGCTCAAGTGGTAGAGTGCTAGCCTTGAGCAAAAGAAGCTCAAGGACAGTGCCTAGGCCCTGAGTGCAAGCTCCAGGGGGGAGAAAAAGATAAAGCAGATAAACAGATATACCTTGGTCCTTAAGTATCACAAATAATCCATGTATGCACTTTAGTATCCATCAGGGATTGGGTCTAGAACCTCCTGTGATCTGGACAACTACACAAGCACTGTTTAAAGTCCTTAGATGCCCAGGTCCCTTATATAAAATGGCATAGTCTTTGCATAAAATCCATAGACATCCTCCTATATACTTGAAATCATGTCTAGTTTCCTCATAATATCTAATAAAATGTATATACAGTATGCTTTCTTGAAATTGGGTGCTGGGGATTGAACCCAGGCTCTGGCACATACTAATTACATGCGTTACCACTGAGCCATCCCTAGCCCCTTAATACCTAACACAATATATAAACCCTGTATAAATAGCTGTTATACTGCATTGTTTAGGAACTAATAACAAGAAAAAAAAAGTTTGTATATGTTCAGTATGATGTTTTGTGGTCCTCTGTTGTTTGAATCTCCCTATGCAAAAGGCCTGGATAGATACAGAGCTGATTGTTGAAGAAAGAGATTTTTTTGAGAGAAAAGTGTCAAAACAGGAGGCGGAGCTTTAAAACACAAAAACAAAACGGACTTCACAATACCAGCTCCACAAACAACAACCAGCCACAGACAAGAGTGGGGAGAGTCTTGAGAAGGAATTGGAATTCCAGAGACTAGAGGCTTGTGGATAATGGACAATAAAACTCCCCAAGTGCCCAGGCCCACCCACAAAGAAGCAGAAACCCTATCAGCTTCTGCTTTGGGCTTTGATGGGCAAGTTACAATAGAAGGCAGGCAGGCTTTCTATGCAGGCCAGCACCAAGGCTCGGCTCCAGACACCGCCACTGCAGCAAAGAGGACAAATCACACTCACCACCAGAGCGGGACGCACAGCACGCCGGGCATTGTCAGCGCCAGCAGCAGCAGCCGCCAGTCTCGGATGAAGTAAGCAAACAGTGGCAGCACCATGTAGCCAATTGCAAAAAACGTGCACACTCCTAATGTGGAGAATATAATACGAACTGACTTGCCAAGGATTTCTGTTCCTGTTTAAAACAAGGGAGGAGTATTAGCATGTTCACTCACTTTAGTATTTGCTTTTTTTAGTGGGGGGCAGAGGGTATTGATCACGAGGCTTGAACTTAGGGTCTGGGCGTGGTCCCTGAACTTTTTTTTTCTCTCTTCAAGGTTAGTGTTCTACCATGTTGAGCCACATAGCTCCACTTCTGGTTTTCTGGTGATTCATTTGAGGTAAGAGTCTCACAAACTTTCCTGCCTGGGTAGGCTTTGAACTGGGATTCTGAGATTTCAGCCTCCTAAGTGGCTAGAATTATAGGCATAAACTATCGGTGCCCAGCTAGTATTTGCTTTTTATATTATCACCTGGAATAAGTTCAAGTCATTACCACTTAGAAAGAGAAAAAAGGTGTATACCCAGAATGAAAATATCTAGATAAGAGAAATGGGGGAGGGAAGGGATCTAGGACTTAGCAACTGACAGGATGAGTTTTCCTGAGGAATATGAGATATATGGGATATGGATCTTTACTTGTGAATATACTGGGGTTTGAACTCACAGCCTTACACTTTCACTGGGCTTTTTCACTCAAGACTGGCATTCTATCACTTGAGCTGCTCCTGTACGTCCAGTTGTTTTGTTTTGTTTTTTAAAACTGGTTAGAGATAAAATCTCATGGACTTTTCTTCCAGGGCTGGCTTTGAACCATGATGCTCAGATCTCAGCCTCCTGAGTAGATAGGATTACAGATATGAGCCACTGGCATCTGGCTTAAGAGGAATTGTATTTCTAAAGCTTCCTGGCTTTGTTTTAGCAGTAAGTAGCTGAGGATTTGATTGTGGAAAACAAAAGTGCACAGTACCAAATGAGAATCCTGTAGAGTCATGAGGCAAGAGCACTTTATACCTTTATAAACCTTGTTAAGAAAGAGGAAGAAAGTGTTACATTTTTCAGATCAACACAAAGCACAATGATTGCTCTAAACTCCATATTTTCAGTTTCACATATTTAAATTCATGCAAGCCTGCAACTTCCCTGTCAAATTATTGGCTGCCAAATTTTTACCTGGTTTCTTCAGCTATGTCTTTTTTTTTTTTTAAGTTGGTCATGGGGCTTGAACTCTGACTTGGGCACTGTCCCTGAGCTCTTCAGCTCAAGGCCTGTGCTCTACCACTTGAGCCACAGAGCCAATTCTGGTTTTCTGCTAGTTAATTGGAGATAAAGGTCTCAAGGACTTTCCTTCTCAGGCTGGCTTTGAACCGTGATCCTCAGATCTCAGCCTTCTGAGTAGCTAGGAGTATAGTTGTGAGCCACTGGTGCCCAGCTCAGCTGTATCTTTTGATCCTTGGAATCTTTAAATTTCTGTACAGTAGCTTTTGTAGAATGTACTGCATTTATTGTTTTTGTGAAGCAGTATATAATTGTATAATTTCCGTGTGTAAATTGAATACTTGGGCATTCAGTACAGTATTTATGCAATAAATATTGATGTTAAAAAAAAAAAGAAAGAGGAAGAAGTTGTACCACTGGGCCCTGATCCCTTTCATTGATTAAGTTTAGGTCTCTGCCTAGAAGAGAGTTGTTAAAACTTTGCCTGTTGTGGACAGAAGTTTTGAAGCTCTACTACTCTGATCCCTTCCTGTAGAACAGCATGGATGGTCGAAACTCCAATCATTCCTTATTAACACTACCTACTGCTCATTGATATTCACTTTTCCTTCCTTGACTTCATCACAATCACTATCATCATCATCACAGGTGGCATTTCTTTGGTGTAGGTCCTTTAAGCCAATTGTAGGCTAAGTGCTACATAGGCTTATCTCATTGCTGCTTCACAAGAATGATATAAGAACTACTATCATTCCTGTTTTACACACACATGGCTAAGACTTAAAGAATGAAAGTCATTTGGCCTGAATTCCTATTTCTATAGTAAATGATACAGCTAGGATTTAAGATAATGTCCCTTTGACCTATGAGGCAAAGCCTTGGTCCTGTAAAGCAATCTTTCAATAGAGACTCAGGTGGAAACAGACAGGGGGAATGAAGTTGTGTTCTCAGACTGAAGACTTATATTTTCCCTTCCTGAGTGAGTCACCAAACCAGTGAGAGCCCAACGTCCTCTGAGGAACATTAGAAGAGCAACTGTTACAGGGAGACAGGTACCAGATGACTCCTAGATCTGCTTACTCAGGATCTTTCCTCCTCTGCCCTGTAGTTTGTGAGTGTATGTGTGTGTGTGTGTGTGTGTGTGCACGCATATGAGAACACACACCCATGTGACAGTCCTAACACTTGAACTCAGGGCCTGGGCACTGTCCCTTATGTTTTTTACTCAAGGCTAGCACTCTACCACTTGAGCCACAGCATCATTTCCAACATTTTTTATTGGGGGGGGGGAGGAGCAGTTAACTGGAGATAAAAGTCTCATGGACTTTCCTGTATGCACTGACTTTGAACCATAATCCTCAGACCTCAGCCTCCTGAGTAGCTAGGATTACAGGCCTGAGCCACTAATACCCAGATTGTTGTTTTCTTTAAGACACAACTCTTTACTTTTTTTTTTTTTTTGTCAGTTATGGGGCTTGAACTCAGGGCCTGGGCACTGTCCCTGAGCTCTTTTGCTTGAGGCTAGTACTCTACTACTTTGAGCCACAGAGCCACTTCTGGTTTTCTGGTTGTTAATTGGAGATCAGGGTCTTATGGGCCAGTCTTTCTTTCCCAATCTGGCTTTGAACCATGATCCTCAGATCTCAGCCTCCTGAGTAGCTAGGATTAGGGGTATGAGTCACCAGCACCCAGCAACTCTTTCCTTTTTTTTTGTCCATTGTGGGGCTTGAACTCTGGGCCTGGGCGCTGTCCCTCAACTCTTCAGCTGAAGGCAAGCCACAGTACTACTTCCAGTTTTCTGGTGGTTAATTGGAGATAAGAGTTTCATGGATGGGCTGGGAAGGTGGCTCAGTGGTAGAACGCTTGCCTTGCATGCCTGAGGCCCTGGGTTCGATTCCTCAGCACCACATAAGCAAAAAGCAAAAAGCCAGAAGTGGTGCTATGGCTCAAGTGGTAGAGCGCTAGCCTTGAGCTGAAGAGCTGAGGGACAGCGCCCAGGCCCAGAGTTCAGGCCCCACGACCAGAAAAAAAAAAAGAGTGTCATGGACTTTCCTGCTGGGCTGGCTTGGAACCACAATCCTCAGATTTCAGCCTCCTGGGTATCTGGGATTACAGGCATGAGCCACTGGCGCCAGTTTCCATAAGGATTTTTTTTTTAATACTTCAGATCTCAGCCTCCTACTGAGTAGCTAAGATTACAGGCATGAGCCACAGGTACCTGGCTCTTTACTTTTTTTATATTTAACTTTTTTTTTTGGTCTTTGTCAGTCATGGGGCCTGAACTACAGGCATAGGAGCTGTCCCTCAGCTCTTCAGCTCAAGACTAGCGTTGTACCACTTGAGCCACAGTGCCACTTCCAGCTTTTTCTGTTTAATGTGGTGCTAAGGAATCGAACCCAGGGCCTCATGCATAGAAGGCAAGCACTCTACCACTGAACAACCTTCCCAGCCCCTATATTTAACTTTTATGTTATCATTGCTTTATTGTATTTAAATGATAAGCTGCCTTGAAATCTTCCAAGGATGAGCTGAGGGATGAATGTGTAAGCATGCTGCGCAAGTTGCTGGCGCCACTTGTTTGCACTGTGTTGTGACCCAGGCCTAGTCCCAGGAAGCTCCCTGTCTGGTTGGGAAGAGGACATGGGTCATGGTGTAGATAAAATTGCTAGTGTGCCAGGCACTGGTGGCTCACATCTGTAATCCTACCTACTCAGGAGGCTGAGATCTGAGGGTTGCCATTTGAAGCCAGCCCAGGCAGAAAGGTCTGTGACACCCTTATCTTCAATGAACCACCAAAAGCCCAGATAGAAGTGTAGCTCAAGTAGTGGAACACTAGCCTTGAATGGAAAAAGCCAAGCAAGAGCCAGAGACCCTGAGTTCAATATTGGCACACACACACATATACATACACACATACACACACACGTATACACACACACACACACACACATACACACCCCACAAATATGTTGCTAATCACTTTGAAAACAGTCTAGTAGATGTTCAAAAGATTGAACAAACAGTTACCACAGGATCCAGAAATTCTACTCCTAGGCATAAACACAAGAAGTCTAAAAACATCCATGGAAAAACTAATGCTAATGGGCTGGGTATGTGGCTCTGTAGTAGAGTGCTTGCCTAGCATGCATGAAGGCCTGGGTTTGATTCCTCAGTACCACAGAAACAGAAAAGGCTGGAAGTGGTGCTATGGTTTGAGAGGAAGAGTGCTAGCCTTGAGCACAGAGAGGTTCAAGGACAGGAGCCAGACTATGAGTTCAAGCCCCAGGACTGGCAAAAAAAAACAAAATAAAACAAAACCACCAAAACAAAATAAAAAACTAATATTCAGAGACCCATAGCAGCCTCATTCATAATAGCCTCAAGGTAGAAATACCACCTGATGACCATATAAACAGCAGGTGTGCAAGGCGCTGGTGGGTCATGCCTGTAATCCCAGCTATTCAGGAGGATGGGCAGAAAAGTCTGTGAGACTCTAATCTCCAATAAACCACCAGAAAACTGAAAGTGGGATTGTGGCTTAAGTGGTAGAGCGCTAGCCTTGAGCTGAAGAGCTGAGGGACAGTGCCTAGGCCCAGAGTTCAGGCCCCATGACCGACAAACAAACAAACAAAAAACTCAGCAGGTGTAACGCAGACAATAGGACATTGTAACATGGGTCCCTCCAGAGAACACAAGTGAAAGAAGCTAGGCCCCAAAGCCATTCCATTTATATAAAGCATCCAGAATAGGCAAATCCAGAGTGAGAAAGTAGAATGGTAATTGTTAGGGGGAAGAGGGATATGAGAGTTTCTTTCTGGAGTGATGGGAATGTTATGAGGTTAGAGTTGATAGTTATAATATACTAGAAGCCACTGAACGGTACACATCCAATGTGAACCATGTTATGTAAATCTGTTA